GATCCGTAGGAGTTTTAAGTTTTTATTGTGAATTATGTGATAGTTTACAGATCCATAGGGTTTTCCAGGTTGGGGTTCGCTCACAAGGTGTCCCTGGGTAGGTTTGAGCTGCCAACCAGTCAGCTGGCAGGCCTGCGCTATGTCATTTGCTCCACTTGGGGATGATTACTGACAACCACTGCTGCTGCTGTTTGACTTTGAGCATTTATGACTGTGTGACAGAACTTCCCCCTAGGTTTTTTTCTAAGCTGTTAAGCCCTGGGGTGGTGCTGCAGGATAATGTGCTGGTCTGCAAGGTCAGCAGTTGAAGCTTACCCGCCATGCCTCGGAAATCCTATACAGGGTTGCTGAGCCGTAACTGGCTTGACAGCATTTGCAGCTCTGGTAGCGAAGTGGTTATGAATCGGGCTGTGAACCTTAAGGTTAGCAGTTCGAAACTACCAGTCGCTCCGCAGGAGAAAGATGAGGCGTTCTGCTCCCGTTAAGATTTACAGCCTTGGGAACCCTGTACAGGGTCGCTATGGGTCGGAACCGACTCGACGACACTTAACAGCAACAAGAGTCTTAACAGGAGTAGGTTGCTAGCACTTTAACACAGTAGTTTCTCTAACAAAGATGAAAGTGTACCACTAGTAAAAGGGTGTAGTTACAGATGGGAGAACAGTGGTCTGGAATGCCAGATCAGACAAATTGTCGCTTATATGCGGTGGTGTTTGTGGTCAGGTTGAATGTTTGAACACACTAAGTTCATAGTTAAGGAAGCAATGTATTCAATACATGATTACCTTTAAATATTTTTCAGAGTTAAAAGCATTTATCTGCCCCATCAACAGATAGATAAAACATAGCACATATATACAAAGGACTCAAATGAATTCTTGATACATGGGTGGGTCTTGTTTCACTCAGCATGTCTTCCAGCTCCACCCAAGAGGTACATGAACATAACATTGTATGACCTCACAATCTATGACAAGAAAAGTAAATACATCAAGACTAAAGTTTATTAGTGATTATGAGAAGTTAGATGAAGGTGGAAATGGGGGGGCGGTTTACAGAGTTTCAGTTAACAGTGATGGAAAGTTAGGGGGTTGCATAGCCAATTAATTGTAAGTGCTATTACCAAGTTGTATACCTGTGAAAAGTTGAGTTGGCTAAAGTTGCAAGATAATTCTGCACTAAAACGCTGTTGAGGTTGCTTCTATCCAACCAAACACCCCATGGGATCTGGTTCTTTGGAAGTTTAGGACCATGGTTTCATGGGACATCCAAGTTGATTTGCTTGAATACGTTTAGTGCTTTTGCTTTACCTCTTAGTTTGTTGCATAGTGCCTGGGGTCTTGGAAGTTTGCAAGTGGTCATCCAAAGCACATTTATTTGGTATCTATTCACCTGGAGCAAGAGAGGAATGAGTCAGGACCAGGAGAATATGAAACATGGCTAATTGCCTCTGAACAATTTGACTAGAAGGAATGGATGGTGCCCTGCTACTTACTGTATTGAAAATTTACATCAAACATTCTATAGCAGAATCCTGATCAAAAAAGGGAAAATGTAGAACAGAATGGCAAATTCTAGTGCACTCTAGATTTTCTAGAGTCGTGGGAAGTAGATGGAGCCCTGGAAACGTTGTTTTGAGGTAATTTTGAAACCTTAAAAAAAAAAAAAAGCCGAATTTCTCAAAATCGATATGGGATCAAACTAACAGGAATTTGAAAGGTTAGATAGGAAGCTTAGGGGCTGGGGTTTTATATTAACAGGGGAGGAACAACTTGGAAAAGGAGCGTGAAAATGGTTACCTAACTGGAGCGTGTCATCAATGTCACTGAATTACATGTTAAATTGGTGTATGTTTTACTATGTACATCATTAACAGCAAAAAGCCATGTACCTTAAGTTTCAGAACACTGGTTATTTACCATATCTGTTGAGTTCAGTTATGTTTAAAAACAAAACAGAGATAATTTCCATTTTTTATTCAGTTTTCAAATATAGATATAAAAAAAGTCAAGATTCTTACACCAGTTATCTCATATGAGACCATGCAAAGCATTTCAATGTGTCTACAGTAATTGTTTCTCTTCAGTTTTGTGGCTTTATACAATGGTGTGATCAATAAAATTGAATGGCAAGTGTCTGTTTGAAAAACATTACCTGTTTACAAAAACATGCAGGACAGTCTGCACATCTTTTTACAAGAATGGTGTTTTATTTTTTAACTTGGGAGGCACATGACACTGAATAATTTAGCTGCCCAGTTTTATTCAACTACCACACAAAAAGCACAATTGATAGTCCCAACACTCCATGAACTGGAGGTTAGAAGAGTAGACACGGTTTGGTATTAGGTTTAACGGTTACCCTTTCTTCTGAAGAACAAATCTTTGGGCCTTTCCTATGTTGCTAACTGGGTTCCAAAACACCACACCTTCCCCTTCCCCCATGGGACACGGAAAGTGTGACAACAGTCATGTAGTCTGTTGCATTATACAAACAGAAGACCTGGACACTTTGTTAGTTGCATAGACTAATGGCAGTCTGTAAAATGGCACTGAAGAAAATCCTGGCGCAAGTGGGGCTACTTCATCCAAATGTCTGACCAAAGAAAATTATACAGTAATATTTATAGGCTAACTTTTGATTGACATCAGTACTGTACATATTTTACACATCAAATACATAGTTAAAGAATTTATAAAATAAGATCATGCATTACCTCTAAGACTATGATGTACAAGATAAACCAACTTCCCTCCCCTACCCCAGAGTACTGTGACAGCATTTCAAGTGGAAGCAATCTTATATACAGAAACAATCCAGTCTCTCTGCTGTGAAAGTGTTACTTAAAGACATTTAAGAGAATTATGAAAGAAAAAAACTTAGTTCATTGAAGATTGATAAAAAGCATCATTTTTTTGGATTAAAAAAAATGTTTTTTTAAAAAACACTCAGGATACATAACCTCTGTACAAAGAAAAATACAAAAATTCTTAATCCTATCTGATCGTACTACATAATTTAGAAGGAAAGTATGTCATTGGTTAATAGTTATTTTCTACTTTACTCATTCCTTTGACAGCATTAATTTGTGAATTAAAGTTTACATTAGCTCAGCTGTATTTTTGGCACAAGATTCTCATATTTAAGACAGTGGCACCAATTTTCCTTAAGTGTAACAACACTATTTTTAGCAGCAATTACTTTTTAAAAGTTAACAACTGGTAGAACAGAGAACGTTTCACTGCAGTTTCTACTTTACACTCACTAGTTACTAATATTTACAAAAGGCTTAAATCTACATAGAGATCAATCTTTCCATCTTAACCAAAGGATTTCTTCCACCTCACTTCTGACGTGGTTGGGGAAGTGTGCAGGTTTAAGAAAGGTACCCAGGTGTTCTGGGTTTTAAATGAGTATAAATGTAATTCTGAAACCAAATATTCAGGGTACATGTTAAGCTGCCCCAAAAGTTGTTAGGTGCTATCGAGTCGGTGCCGACTCATAGTGACCTTATGCACAGCAGAATGAAACACTGCCTGATCCTGGGCCAACCTCACTACTGTTGCCATGCTTGAGTCCATCGATGC